TACATGTAACTTTAACTTTCCTTTTCTTATCTTTTTTACTTTTGTTTGAGGCATTTTGAGATTATTACATGAGAAAGTGCACTTAAAATACAATTAATTAGTAACATCACTATTATTATTATTATTATTATTATTCTCTTTTTATTCCTATTGTTTTAACCTTAAACTACATGCTTAGATTTTCATTATCCTTTCACTCTCAAACTGCAAGTATTTAAATAGTGTGGACCGAACTGGTTTTACAAGTCTTAATAAATCTGCATTCAGTTTTTGTAGATCACCCACAACACGCCCATCTATTAAATTGTTTTTGTTCCCACACAATTTAACACTCCTTAATATTAATCTTTTAAGATCCAGCCATTAAAGCCTCTCTAATATGTGTGGAAATTAGCTTTCATAAAAACGAAAATTATTATTCCATTCTGTGACCTTACAAGAAAAACCTAAAATGACTATTTTAAGTGCCTGACTGGTAAAATTTAACCTGTGATTAATTCTGTTTTTTGTTCAACAGTTAGGAATGTTGTGGTAAAATGTATTCCTTGCTTTGCTTGAGTCTCGTGACCAAGTAATGATTGTTTTGTTTTTTTACAACCCTATGACTGCCTTTAAGTTATGGGTTATGTTATGTCCTATTATGTATGAAGAGTGAGAAGTTCTGTTCAAAAACAATTTCATCTAGCCTTGTTCATGTGATGTAACCTGACAGAAGCATTTGCTCTGTCTTCACAGCAGATGTCCCTCCTCATGACTACCAGCCGATAAACAGAGGAATGCTCACTGTATGTTGTATAACTCACGGCCAGCTCTAGGTTTTTCATTTCGTATCTCAGATGGGAGCCAAACGAATCAACATTTGAAATATAAGATCAAGTTTTTTCTCTGTCTGACTTAGAAGAGATACAGACCTCTTTAGGATGAATTTCTTTCTCCTCTTATTCCTGCAATTCTAGCTTGATAATCATCACCAATCTCTCTCTATTTACCAAAGGACAGTTATTTCCTTTTCCCTTCACAGTGTCTAGGATGGTTTTGATTATTGTCTATTCTATTGAGTCTGAATCACACTGGATTAAAAATATACACACACCCCTACTTATATTTGGTTAAAAGTTATAACTACAACTTTGGATTCTTCATCAATAGCAATC